ACGCAAACACACACACACACATGCAGACGCACACACGCAGACACACACACACGCAGACACACACACACACACACACACACACGCACACACACACACACACACACACACACACACACACGCAGACACACACACACGCACACGCACGCAGACACACACACACGCAGACGCACACACGCAGACACACACGCAGACACGCACACACGCAGACACACACACACTCGCAGACACACACACACACACGCAGACACACACACACGCAACCACACACACACACAGACGCACGCAGACAAGCACATACGCAAACACACACACNACGGGGTTTTGGCGCCCCCTCTGGTGCTGCGCCCCTATGCGTTGCATACGCTGCATACCCACTTTTTGCGCCTCTGATACCAACCAAGGGGAAAACATTCTGATCTGAAACCGAAACAGGATGCTTCCTTCAGAAATCAAGTGGAGGAATCAGAAACCCAAGATCAATGTTAGGATCACTCCTCTGCCAGCTGGGATCTGGTCTCAGCAATCTACCTGCTGTCCTGATTACCTGCCTCCATAACGAGTCAGCGGCGCTGTCAGCGTCGTCCATATTTGGGCAACAGGAAGAGCGCGCAGCGGCATACTTCCGGGCCCGGCTACACAGGCGTCGCTCCAGCTAATTCAAGGATGCTTAACGGTCCCCCAAAAAACGATAAAACCCCGGACATTATGATAAACCAATGAAATCCCCAGGACAAACTTAAAAATGGGACGTTATGCTGCTAGCATTAGCAACAACTCAGAGGAAGTGAAAGCGCTGAGCCGGAACACGTGCGCTAATAACAAAACCTCGAGGAATTTAATAATGGCGGTTCTGAGGTCATCTGACGAATCTTTACAACCCTAAACACAAGATAAGCTTTTTCATTAGCATCCATGTTTACTTCCACTGAGCATCCTCGGTAGTTGTCCTCTGCTGCGCATGCGGGAAACTTTCTGCTTGTTTTCAGTTCTCACAGGACTCGCGTGCAGGTCGCATGCGATGCAAAGCAAAGCGGTTTTACAGTAAATGTGAACGTGAAGGCCTGCAGCGTCCTGATGCGCCGTGTGCTCCTCCCGCAGCAAGCTCCACGCCTTCATCTGGGACAGCGCCGTGCTGGAGTTCGAGGCGTCGCAGAAATGCGACCTGGTGACGACGGGGGAACTGTTCTTCCGCTCCGGCTTCGGCATCGGCATGAGGAAGGACAGTCCCTGGAAGCAGAACGTCTCTCTGGCTATTCTCAGGTACCGAACGCCACACCGCAGCAGCTCCACAAGCCCCGCCCACTCACGCTTCGCCCACTTCCTCCACAGCTCGCATGAGAACGGCTTCATGGAGGATCTGGACAAGACGTGGGTTCGCTACCAGGAGTGCGACTCCAGGAGCAATGCCCCCGCCACACTCACCTTCGAGAACATGGCAGGTAGGACGCAGGCCCCGCCCTCTCCGCCGCCGCCAGGCAGGTGAACCGTAAGCTGCATCTCCCCCCGCTCCAGGTGTGTTCATGCTGGTGGCCGGCGGCATCGTCGCTGGGATCTTCCTCATCTTCATCGAGATCGCCTACAAGCGACACAAAGATGCGCGCAGGAAACAGATGCAGCTGGCCTTCGCCGCCGTCAACGTGTGGAGGAAGAACCTGCAGGTAGGCGGAGTTACCTGGTGGTGGCGGTGTGTTTTACCTGTCTCTCCTGAACGTCACGGTTTACTTCCAGAAAGCCAGTCTGTCACATGACCTGTGTGTTGTGTTGTTGTCATGGTAACACACCATGAGTGACTAAATCGGGTTGAATTGGTGAGGATGATCCTCCTCCTCCAAACGGCCTACTCAAAGCCCAGATTGACCCGTTTGTTCCAGAGTTGAAAATCATCAGGAAGTTGCTGGGCTTCAGGAAGTGACCTCACAGGTCCAGCAGGTCAGAATCCAATATGGCTGCTGCAGCAGAGACCAGCACTTCCTGCTGCTGGGCCCAGTACGCTCTGATTGGCCAGCTTCTGTGACATCACAAAGTCCCGCCCACGTCAAAACTGAGCAGCTGAAGCCAAACACATCTGGAGCTTTTATTCTGAAAATCCAACACATCACCTGGTTCTGGTTAGAACTGGACCACAGGTTCAGAGCGGGAGAGTTCTGATCCAAGTTTTCCTACAGTTCCTCCCTGATGGGCCCCTCGGTCCAGTCCAGTTCTGCCGATCAGAACCGGTTTCTGTTCACAGATGGTGGATCCGAACCAGAACCGGGTCGAGCTGCAAACCGTTTCTCTTTTTGTCTCTTTATCAACGAACCTCAACAAGGGTGGCTTTTAGCATGGGGTTACCATGACGACACAGAAATCCATGACAGGCTGCAGGGTCAGAGGTCACCATCAGAGGTCGGGTCTTGTTGCTCATGGGGTTCACTGACCATCAGGGAAAGGTCAAAGGTTAAACTCATGATGATGATGATGATGTCAGACACCTTGTAACCATCACCCCCCCAAGGAGAGACGACATTATTCCAGCTGAGCGTTGGTATAATGAGCCCATGTGATGTCACTTCCTGCTTCTTTGTCCCAAACAGGAAGTGCTGCCTTTGTTTCCTGTTGTGTTTGACCCTCATGTCGTTGTTCACCTGCTGCTGTGTTTGTAGGACGTTTTACCCCTCATCTGAACACACACGCAGACACACACACACGCAGACGCACGCATACACACACACACACACACACGCAGACACACATACACACACACACACGCAGACGCACGCAGACACACACACACACACGCAGACACACACACGCAGACACACACACACACGCAGACACACACACACGCAGACGCACGCAGACACAGACGCACGCAGACACACACACACGCAGACACACACACACGCAGACGCACGCAGACACAGACGCACGCAGACACACACACACACAGACACACACACACACAGACGCACGCAGACACACACACACACACGCAGACACACACACACGCAGACGCACGCAGACACAGACGCACGCAGACACACACACACACAGACACACACACACACA